CTGAGGCCAGAATGCATGGGGGGTTTAAGTAATCACTTGGAAGTCACAGAACCAGTAAGTGGCACAGCTAGGAACTGAACCAGGAAGTTTAGCACCAGAGTCTGTGTTGTTAGTAACCCTGTTACCGTGACATCTGTCTGTAAAGTCAGCTAGGCTGCTCTGTTTATGGAACTTCTTTTCCAGCTGTTTCCTTGACAACTTTCTAGTGTTCTAGTTTCCTGGACTCTCAAGGCCTTAGTAAAAACCTTTTATAGTTTTCTTGCTTCATTTTCCTGGATCCAACATAGTTCTGGTCCATCTCTCATGGGAGTCAAGGACCATGTATTCTCTGTATAATTTCATGATACTTTTCCACTGGAAATAGTGCCAGTAATGAAGCAAGTTGGGTTAGAAATACATCAGTGAAGTGACAGAATTGTGAAGGGTGACCACAATTCTGAATTTAAACAAGATAGTAATATACTGTTTGGAATGACTTTCTTCATGAAAACTTGCAGGCTGCACATTTGTGTTTAGTTTCATGCACTGCTGATAGTGATAGACTACCCCGGTGACTGATGGTGCCTTTGTCTCTTAGGTAACCAAAGTAATCCTGGCCTTCCATCGTGCTGAAGAGGCTGTCTTCAGCAGTGGGGAGCAAGAGCTCTTCGTCCAGTTCTGCACTGTCTTCCTGGAGGACCTCGTTCCTTATTTAAATCGCTGTCTCCAAGTCCTTTTTCCACCAGCTCAGATAGCACAGACCTTAGGTAAGAGAAAGGAGAAAATATTTTTATAATTACTTTATTGATACAATTTATATACTAACTAATTCACCCATTTGTAAAATTCAGTGTTTTAGTAAATGTACATAGGTATACAACCATTAACACCATCCAATTTTAGTACATTTCCATCACCCCAAAAAGATCTCTCGGGTCCAATGTAGTCATTCCCCAACCCCACTCTTAGCCCCTGGCAACCACTAATCTACTTTGATGCAATAGATTTGCCATTTCTGGACATTTAATAGAAATGGAATCATACAATATGTATATATCTGGCTAAGTACAAGAAGCCATTCACAAAAGAACTACATATTGTATAATTCCAGAGAAGATGCTTTAAAAATATTTTTTCCAATTTGCCTTCACTTCCCTGTGCCTGCTCTCTCTCTGCGGGGGTAGAGTGGGAGAATGGGGGAGGCAGAGCTTCCCAAAGGGCAGTGTGCCAGTGATCACACCAGCACAGAGTGGCTCCTGGCTACTTTTCCCCAGCTTTTCCCCTGTGCCTGTCACAGGGAAGCCAGTGCCTGCTGAGGTTCACATGGCTTTTACTGCATCTGCCCTACACTACTGTTCCAGATTACCTTCGAAGTCTTGCTTTACAGTATAGCTTCTTGTCCCATACCACAGAGATGACTTACTGTACTGAAATGTGGTAATTGTGTGTGTTACTCCCTCTAAGTGTTTATTTTTTCCTGTGGCACATCAGTATTTAAATTTATTAAATGTTGTTTTCCATTTCACTTTGCCTACCATCTGGGTCAGGCATTCCACCCACTCAGCTCTCCAAGTACCGAAACCTTGGGCATGTGAACGTCGGCGTCGTCCAGGAGCCTCTCGCCTTTATCCTCCCGAAGAAGGACATGGTCTTCTGCCTAGATGAGAAGGAGCCGGTGCTGGAGCGCACAGTTCCAGCACCAGCACCTCCCGCTCCAGCACCAGAGCCCCCAGCTCCTGCACCAGAACTCCCTGTGGAGGAGTCAAGCCTTGAGCCTCTCACTCCGGCTTTCCCTGAGGATGGGCAAGGGCAGGTTGAATCAGTGGAGCCACTGCAGGCTGGTGTGCCTAGTGTGGGAACTTAACTGGACTTCCCCGCTCCCAGAACCAGGCGCAGCACCCTGTTGGAATGAGAGTTGCCTCACCTGGGAAAACGGGACAGTCCTGGGGAGAGGCTGCAAAGGCATTCATGAGAGGAAATTAAGGGGGAACCTCTTATCCACTCTTGTAAATGGTTGATCATACCTAAAAAAAAAAAAAAGGAATTAAATAATAAAGCTGATTGACGTCACCGAGAGGCTAACAGCGTTTTGTGGGCAG